CGACAGACCAGGTAGCTTCCACACAGCGTTACGCAACCGATGAAAAGATATTGCCGCTCGACTGATTCGGAGTGAGACCTCTGCTGTTAAACTGGAGCCAGTCATAAGCACACTGCCCAGGTATGGGAAACTCTCCACTCTCTCCACAACTGCCCCATCACCAATTGGGTGTTGTGGGGGTGGAGTGTCCGATGGTACAAAATACCCAGGCAGGTGCTTAGTTTTGGTGGGGCTGATGGTAAGGCCCCACCTCTTAGTGGCACGCTCCAGTCTCAGCAGCAGCGTCTCCAACTCCTCCTCTGACTGAGCAGCTATTACCAAATCATCAGCATACCTAACGTGGTTGAGCAATAGGGAGCCATCCCTTGACCGCACCCGGGCATTGATTAGCCTCCCATTATATCTGTACCATATGGAGATTCCCCCGGTACAGCTATTGAAGGCTTCACGAACTACGTGGTCAAAATAGATGTTAAATAATGTGGGAGCCAGAGGACATCCCTGTCGCACCCCAAGGTGTACAGTGAATGGCTCTGACTCCCGGCCACGTAGTTTTACCCGGGCCCGCTCACCATCATGAAGGTCCTTAATGATCGTGAGCAGAGGGTCAGGTACTCCAAAAGCACGAAGAACGACCCAGAGCCCAGGCCTACTGATGGTATCATAGGCCTTGACCAGGTCAATAAAGCAGAGATGTAGGTCTTGTTGGAATTCCCTACACCTCTGCTGTAGCAGACGGACAGAAAATATGGCATCTGTGCAGGACCGCCCTTTCCTGAAACCGCATTGGGGCTCCGCAAGCCTCTCCTCAGCGTGCCTGGCAAGGCGATGCTGAATAATCCTTGCCAGGACCTTTCCCGGCACACTGAGGAGTGAGATGCCCCTGTAGTTGTTACAGTCTGTGCGGTCCCCCTTCTTAAAAAGGGGGACCACCAGGGCATCCTTCCAATCCTGCGGAACCCGTCCAGTGGTCCAGACTGTTGTTATGATGTCATATAGGGCAGTCTGTGCACAAACGCCACCCTCCCTCAGCATTTCGCTTGGGAGATCATCTCTGCCCGCTGCCTTTCCTGGTCTCAGACTCCGGATCGCCTTCAATACTTCCTCAGCAGATGGCACCTCAGCCAGCCACTCACAGGGGGTGACTTCATCCAATATTTGAGGCACCGCAGCCTCAGCAGGGTCATCTTCACTTTGTGCCACGATGTTTTCCTGGCTGAGGGATTTTCCCTCCCCCAGGACCTCACAGAAATGCTCAGCAAATCTGCGAACCTGTTCCTGGGGGTCGGAAATTGGATCACCGTTTTTTTCCCCTAATGATGGTAATAGGTGTGGCGCTGCAGGTTACTTTTTTGATGGAGTTAAATAGAGATTTGTGATCACGGGCCACTGAGGCAGACTCCATCTCCTCAGCAACCCGCGACCACCACCCATCCTTGCAGCGCCTCACGGCTCTCCGAACCTCCGAGCGAAGGCTGCGGTAAGCCTCCTCATTCTCTGACGTGGGATTCTGTAGCCGATGACAGTGGGCCTGTCGCTTTTTCTCAACCATCCTGAACAACTCCTCTGTCAGCCAGGGTGTCTGGGGAGGTCTGGACCGCGTACCCAAAGCAGCCATTGCAGCTGCATGAGTCACAGTCCTAAACCTCGCCCATTTACCCTCGACATCAGGAGGAGTCGGGGACGATGTCAATCCCAGCCGCAAGCGATGATGAAATTCTCGCTTGCAACTTTCATCAGATAACTGAGACCAGGCCACTTTAGGTTGGAATGGGGTCCTGGGTGTACACCCACCACCGGAGTGGAGGAATGGCAGGCGCATCTTACAGATGACTAGTCGATGGTCAGAGGGCAGATCAGCTCCACGGTAGGTCCTGGTGTCAAGGACATGGGCTCACATTCGCTGGTCCGTCACTATGTAGTCCAGCAGATGTTCTTGCTTGGACCCGGCATGCATCCATGATGTTGTGTGGATACGCCGATGCCGGAACAGCGTGTTGGTAATTACAAGCCCATGGGCTGCACAAAAATCTAGCAGCCTCCTACCGTTGTTATTGAGCTGATCTGGCCCATGCCCTCCAATCACTCCAGACCAGGTGCCAGTATCATGACCAACTCGGGCATTGAAGTCACCCAACATGATGACTCTATCCCGAGGGGCCACTTTAGCCAGCACCTGTGACAGGAGGTCATAGAAGGCATCTGACTCATCGGCTTTGCCTGCATCCCTCCACGGATGTTCATCTTCGGTGGGGGCATAAGTAACCACGACCACCATTCCTCGCCTTCGGTTGATGGGAAGGCGAGCCCAAAGTAGCCTGGGGCTTACAGCTTCCCACACCTCACCGCCACGCTCCCACGCCCCCTTCATTCTTTTGTTCAAAAGAAGACCCACACCCTGTTGTTTGGCAGTCTGCTGCCCCGATTAGAGGACTGTCCACCCCTCATGGTGGCAGGAGCCAGAGCCGGTCCACCGGACCTCCTGAATGCCGCATAGATCCAGGCGGTACCGGTCCAGCTCCCGACAGAGGAGTGGCAGCCTCTCTTCTGCAGTGAGTGTTCGAACATTCCACGTGGCCACCCGTAGTGGCTTTTCGTTGTTTCTGGAGTAGCCCCGAGGGTAGGTATTCAATCTCCTGGCTCCGCCAATTGGGGTTTGGCCAGGAGACATCATAGACGCCTGGACCCCCGGGGCCTCCGGCACAAGCTTAGTTGTTACACATACATACACACACATACACACATACATACACACACATACACACACACATACACACACATACACACACATACACACACACACATACACACACACACATACACACACATACACACATACACACACATACATACACACACGTACACACTCCCACATACAGGAGCCGTCCACCACCAGCGCGTGCTGTAGCTTCTCACTACACATACACACCCTGAGGCCACGTGAAGTGTCGAACGCCCGCTGGCAGGAGGTCACGGGGCAGACCCAGGTGCCACGGGTCGACTGACTGAGATGACTGGCTGATGCACCACCTGTGCCCCCTACTGTGCCAACCTGCTGTGCTTTAGCCACCCGGCGCTCCGCTCGTTGTTCTGAGCGTCGCTCCTCCGCCATCCGTTGTTGTTGGAGGGCGACTGCCTCCAACTGCCCAGTAGCATCCTTCACGAGCCTCCTCCACAGAGGCCGATCTTGACACCGCTGGTACAAGTCATCGGCAAGTCCACTCAGCTCCACGTCCTCCTGTACCACATCACTCCATCTCTTCTCTAGCCCGTGCCGCGCCTGCTTAGCCCCCTAAATCCGGCCAAACAAAAGCTGTTTCGGCATGCGGTGGCTGGGCATGCGGGCTACATGACCCAGCCATCGCAGCCTTGCCTGCCGGAGGAGCTCACCGATGGGACCCTGCCCAGATCTTTCAAGGATTTGTGAGCTCCTCACACAATCCAGTCTGGTTAAACCCAGGATGGATCGTAGGCAGGCCAGCCTAAATGTTTCTAACCGGCGAAGATGTTCCATTAGGGGGGTCCACGTTTCGCAAGCGTAGAGAAGGGAGGGAATGACCGTGGCCGAGAAGACCTGAAGCTTAGTGCGGAGCGACAGACCAGGTAGCTTCCACACAGCGTTACGTAACCGATGAAAAGATATTGCCGCTCGACTGATTCGGAGTGAGACCTCTGCTGTTAAACTGGAGCCATTCATAAGCACACTGCCCAGGTATGGGAAACTCTCCACTCTCTCCACAACTGCCCCATCACCGATTGGGAGTTGTGGGGGTGGAGTGTCCAATGGTACAAAATACCCAGGCAGGTGCTTAGTTTTGGTGGGGCTGATGGTAAGGCCCCACCTCTTAGTGGCACGCTCCAGTCTCAGCAGCAGCGTCTCCAACTCCTCCTCTGACTGAGCAGCTATTACCAAATCATCAGCATACATAACGTGGTTGAGCAATAGGGAGCCATCCCTTGACCGCACCCGGGCATCGATTAGCCTCCCATTATATCTGTACCATATGGAGATTCCCCCGGTACAGCTATTGAAGGCTTCACGAACTACGTGGTCAAAATAGATGTTAAATAATGTGGGAGCCAGAGGACATCCCTGTCGCACCCCAAGGTGTACAGGGAATGGCTCTGACTCCCGGCCACGTAGTTTTACCCGGGCCCGCTCACCATCATGAAGGTCGTTAATGATCGTGAGCAAAGGGTCAGGTACTCCAAAAGCACGAAGAACGACCCAGAGCCCAGGCCTACTGATGGTATCATAGGCCTTGACCAGGTCAATAAATCAGAGATGTAGGTCTTTTTGGAATTCCCTACACCTCTGCTGTAGCAGACGGACAGAAAATATGCCATCTGTGCAGGACCGCCCTTTCCTGAAACCGCATTGGGGCTCCGCAAGCCTCTCCTCAGCATGCCTGGCAAGGCGATGCTGAATAATCCTTGCCAGGACCTTTCCCGGCACACTGAGGAGTGAAATGCCCCTGTAGTTGTTACAGTCTGTGCGGTCCCCCTTCTTAAAAAGGGGGACCACCAGGGCATCCTTCCAATCCTGCGGAACCCGTCCAGTGGTCCAGACTGTTGTTATGATGTCATATAGGGCAGTCTGTGCACAAACGCCACCCTCCCTCAGCATTTCGCTTGGGAGATCATCTCTGCCCGCTGCCTTTCCTGGTCTCAGACTCCGGATCGCCCTCAGTACTTCCTCAACAGATGGTACCTCAGCCAGCCACTCACAGGGGGTGACTTCTTCCAATATTTGAGGCACCGCAGCCTCAGCAGGGTCATCCTCACTTTGTGCCACGATGTTTTCCTGGCTGAGGGATTTTCCCTCCCCCAGGACCTCACAGAAATGCTCAGCAAATCTGCAAACCTGTTCCTGGGGGTCGGAGATACATACATACACACGCACACACGCATACACACACACATACACACACACGCTTACACACACACATACACACACACACACGTACACACACACACACACACGTACACTCACACACGTACATACATACACACATACATACACACACACGTACACACATACACACACACGTACATACACACGTACATACACACACGTACATACATATACACACACATACACACACACGCACACACACGCACGTACATACAGACGTACACACATACACACACGCACACGTACGTACACAACAACAACAACAACCGCCATTCGCCACTAAGTGGCGGTGACGTCACCACGACGCTTGTGCCAGGCCATGTGCACCTTGAGGCCACGTGAAGTGTCGAACGCACGCTGGCAGGAGGTCACGGGGCAGACCCAGGTGCCACGGGTCGACTGACTGAATGACTGGCTGATGCACCACCTGTGCCCCCAGTCGTAGTTTCGTGGTAATTTTTTGAAGGTGGAGGGGTTACCAGCCCCTCGCACCAGTCCAGAGCCCCATACGTACACGCGCACACAGACACGTACACACGCACACACATCTTCATCCCAGGCACGTACATACAGACGTACACACAGACACGTACACACGCACACACATCTTCATCCCAGGCACGTACATACAGACGTACACACAGACACGTACACACGCACACACATCTTCATCCCACGCACGTACATACAGAGGTACACACAGATGTACGTACACACGCACACACACACACACACTTCTTCATCCCACGCATGTACATACAGACATATACACAGACGTACGTACACACGCACACGTACACACACACACACATCTTCATCCCACGCACGTACATACAGATGTACACACAGACGTACGTACACACGCACACACACACACATCTGCATCCCACGCACGTACATACAGACGTACACACAGACACGTACACACACACACACATCTTCATCCCAGGCACGTACATACAGACGTACACACAGACACGTACACACGCACACACATCTTCATCCCACGCACGTACATACAGAGGTACACACAGACGTACGTACACACGCACACACACACACACACTTCTTCATCCCACGCATGTACATACAGACATATACACAGACGTACGTACACACGCACACGTACACACACGCGCACACATCTTCATCCCACGCAGGCCGCCCGCTCCCCCCCTCACCCACCAGCTGCCCCCGGGGGCTGTGTCGAGCGCCAGCCCCTCGAGCTGCGAGGCGGCGCCCGGCAGGAGGTGGTGGAGCCGCGTGTGGCGGGCGAAGAGGCCGCAGGCGTAGGCCACGCTCACGGCCGTCTCCAGCTTGTCGCCCGTGAGGACCCACACGGAGATGCCGGCGTGGGACAGCTCGCGGATCGTGCGGGGAACCTCCTCCTGCAACCTGCGGGGGCGGGGGGGGGGTTGAGTCTATGGTGCAGTGCTGAGTCTACGGTGCAGTGTTGAGTCTACGGTGCAGTGTTGAGTCTATGGTGCAGTGTTGAGTCTATGGTGCAGTGTTGAGTCTATGGTGCAGTGTTGAGTCTATGGTGCAGTGTTGAGTCTATGGTGCAGTGTTGAGTCTATGGTGCAGTGTTGAGTCTATGGTGCAGTGTTGAGTCTATGGTGCAGTGTTGAGTCTATGGTGCAGTGTTGAGTATCTGGGTAGTGTTGAGTCATTGGACAGTGTTGAGTCTATGGGCAGTGTTGAGTCAACAGGAAGTGTTGAGTCTATGGGCAGTGTTGAGTCTCTGGGTAGTGTTGAGTATCTGGGTAGTGTTGAGTCATTGGACAGTGTTGAGTCTATGGGCAGTGTTGAGTCTACGGTGCAGTGCTGAGTCTACGGTGCAGTGTTGAGTCTACGGTGCAGTGTTGAGTCTATGGTGCAGTGTTGAGTCTATGGTGCAGTGTTGAGTCTATGGTGCAGTGTTGAGTATCTGGGTAGTGTTGAGTCATTGGACAGTGTTGAGTCTATGGGCAGTGTTGAGTCAACAGGAAGTGTTGAGTCTATGGGCAGTGTTGAGTCTCTGGGTAGTGTTGAGTATCTGGGTAGTGTTGAGTCATTGGACAGTGTTGAGTCTATGGGCAGTGTTGAGTCTACGGTGCAGTGCTGAGTCTACGGTGCAGTGTTGAGTCTACGGTGCAGTGTTGAGTCTACGGTGCAGTGTTGAGTCTACGGTGCAGTGCTGAGTCTACGGTGCAGTGTTGAGTCTACGGTGCAGTGTTGAGTCTACGGTGCAGTGTTGAGTCTACGGTGCAGTGTTGAGTCTATGGTGCAGTTTTGAGTCTATGGTGCAGTGTTGAGTCTATGGGCAGTGTTGAGTCTACGGTGCAGTGTTGAGTCTGTGGTGTAGTGTTGAGTCTATGGTGCAGTGTTGAGTCTATGGTGCAGTGTTGAGTCTACGGTGCAGTGTTGAGTCTACGGTGCAGTGCTGAGTCTCCCCCCCCCCCCCCCCCCCCCCATGCCACCCTCCATTCCCACCTTCACCCCACGTGCCCGCTGCCCCCACCACCCCCCCCCACCTGTCCTCTACGGCGGTGGCCCCGAGGAGCCAAAGCTGGCTCTCGACGGCGTCGTAGGCCGCGTCGATGGCGTCCTGGCGGCTCGCCAGGGCGGTGCGAGCCGCACGTAGCCGCTCGCTCAGGTCGGCCCACGCGGCGCCGCTGAGAGGCCGCACCGCGTAGCACAGCGTGCGCAGACCCTCCTGGTGGGCGCACAACAACAACAACAACACAGAGGCGGAGATCCCACCGGGGTAGCCTCTGTAGATGAAAGAGAGGGGTAGAGATCTATAGATGAGAGAGAGAGAGAGGGGTAGAGATCTATAGATGAGAGAGAGAGAGGGGTAGAGATCTTTAGATGAGAGAGAGGGGTAGAGATCTATAGATGAGAGAGAGAGAGAGGGGTAGAGATCTATAGATGAAAGAGAGAGAGAGGGGTAGAGATCTATAGATGAGAGAGAGAGAGAGGGGTAGAGATCTATAGATGAAAGAGAGAGAGGGGTAGAGATCTTTAGATGAGAGAGAGGGGTAGAGATCTATAGATGAGAGAGAGGGGTAGAGACCTATAGATGAGAGAGAGAGGTAGAGATCTATAGATGAGAGAAAGAGGTAGATATCTATAGATGAGAGAGAGGGGTAGAGATCTATAGATGAGAGAGGGGTAGAGATCTATAGATGAGAGAGAGAGAGAGGGGTAGAGATCTATAGATGAGAGAGAGAGAGGGGTAGAGACCTATAGATTAGAGAGAGAGGTAGAGATCTATAGATGAGAGAGAGAGGTAGATATCTATAGATGAGAGAGAGAGAGGGGTAGAGATCTATAGATGAGAGAGAGGGGTAGAGATCTATAGATGAGAGAGAGAGAGGGGTAGAGATCTATAGATGAGAGAGAGAGGGGTAGAGATCTATAGATGAGAGAGAGAGGGGTAGAGATCTATAGATGAGAGAGAGAGGGGTAGAGATCTATAGATGAGAGAGAGGTAGAGATCTATAGATGAGAGAGAGAGAGAGGTAGAGATCTATAGATGAGAGAGAGAGAGGGGTAGAGATCTATAGATGAGAGAGAGGGGTAGAGATCTATAGATGAGAGAGAGGTAGATATCTATAGATGAGAGAGAGAGAGGGGTAGAGATCTATAGATGAGAGAGAGGGGTAGAGATCTATAGATGAGAGAGAGAGAGAGGGGTAGAGATCTATAGATGAGAGAGAGAGGGGTAGAGATCTATAGATGAGAGAGAGAGAGGGGTAGAGATCTATAGATGAGAGAGAGAGGGGTAGAGATCTATAGATGAGAGAGAGGTAGAGATCTATAGATGAGAGAGAGAGGGGTAGAGATCTATAGATGAGAGAGAGGGTTAGAGATCTATAGATGAGAGAGGGAGAGGGGTAGATATCTATAGATGAGAGAGAGAGAGAGAGGGGTAGAGATCTATAGATGAGAGAGAGAGAGGTAGATATCTATAGATGAGAGAGAGAGAGAGGGGTAGAGATCTATAGATGAGAGAGAGAGAGAGGGGTAGAGATCTATAGATTAGAGAGAGAGAGAGGGGTAGAGATCTATAGATGAGAGAGAGAGGGGTAGAGATCTATAAATGAGAGAGAGATAGAGATCTATAGATGAGAGAGAGAGGGGTAGATATCTATAGATGAGAGAGAGAGAGGGTAGAGATCTATAGATGAGAGAGAGAGGGGTAGAGATCTATAGATGAGAGAGAGAGGGGTAGAGATCTATAGATGAGAGAGAGAGAGGGGTAGAGATCTATAGATGAGAGAGAGAGAGGGGTAGAGATCTATAGATGAGAGAAGGAGGGGTAGAGATCTATAGATGAGAGAGAGAGGTAGAGATCTATAGATGAGAGAGAGAGGGGTAGAGATCTATAGATGAGAGAGAGGGTTAGAGATCTATAGATGAGAGAGAGAGGGGTAGAGATCTATAGATGAGAGAGAGAGAGGGGTAAAGATCTATAGATGAGAGAGAGAGGTAGAGATCTATAGATGAGAGAGAGAGAGGGGTAGAGATCTATAGATGAGAGAGAGAGAGGTAGAGATCTATAGATGAGAGAGAGAGAGGGGTAGAGATCTATAGATGAGAGAGAGAGAGGGGTAGAGCTCTATAGATGAGAGAGAGAGAGGGGTAGAGATCTATAGATGAGAGAGAGAGGTAGAGATCTATAGATGAGAGAGAGAGGTAGATATCTATAGATGAGAGAGAGAGGGGTAGAGATCTATAGATGAGAGAGAGAGGGGTAGAGATCTATAGATGAGAGAGAGAGAGGGGTAGAGATCTATAGATGAGACAGAGAGAGGGGTAGAGATCTATAGATGAGAGAGAGAGGGGGTAGAGATCTATAGATGAGAGAGAGAGGGGTAGAGATCTATAGATGAGAGAGAGGTAGAGATCTATAGATGAGAGAGAGAGGGGTAGAGATCTATAGATGAGAGAGAGGGTTAGAGATCTATAGATGAGAGAGAGAGAGGGGTAGAGATCTATAGATGAGAGAGAGAGAGAGGGGTAGAGATCTATAGATGAGAGAGAGAGGTAGATATCTATAGATGAGAGAGAGAGAGGGGTAGAGATCTATAGATGAGAGAGAGGGGTAGAGATCTATAGATGAGAGAGAGAGAGGGGTAGAGATCTATAGATGAGAGAGAGAGAGGGGTAGAGATCTATAGATGAGAGAGAGAGGGGTAGAGATCTATAGATGAAAGAGAGAGGGGTAGAGATCTATAGATGAGAGAGAGAGAGGGGTAGAGATCTATAGATGAGAGAGAGAGAGGGGTAGAGATCTATAGATGAGAGAGAGAGAGAGGGGTAGAGATCTATAGATGAGAGAGAGAGGTAGAGATCTATAGATGAGAGAGAGAGGGGTAGAGATCTATAGATGAGAGAGAGGATTAGAGATCTAGAGATGAGAGAGAGAGGGGTAGAGATCTATAGATGAGAGAGAGAGAGATGGGTAGAGATCTATAGATGAGAGAGAGAGGTAGAGATCTATAGATGAGAGAGAGAGAGGGGTAGAGATCTATAGATGAGAGAGAGAGAGAGAGGTAGAGATCTATAGATGAGAGAGAGGGTAGAGATCTATAGATGAGAGAGAGAGGGGTAGAGATCTATAGATGAGAGAGAGAGAGAGGGGTAAAGATCTATAGATGAGAGAGAGAGGTAGAGATCTATAGATGAGAGAGAGAGAGGGGTAGATATCTATAGATGAGAGAGAGAGGTAGAGATCTATAGATGAGAGAGAGAGGGGTAGAGATCTATAGATGAGAGAGAGAGGGGTAGAGCTCTATAGATGAGAGAGAGAGAGGGGTAGAGATCTATAGATGAGAGAGAGGGGTAGAGATCTATAGATGAGAGAGAGAGAGAGGGTTAGAGATCTATAGATGAGAGAGAGAGAGGGGTAGAGATCTATAGATGAGAGAGAGAGAGGTAGAGATCTATAGATGAGAGAGAGAGGGGTAGAGATCTATAGATGAGAGAGAGAGAGGGGTAGAGATCTATAGATGAGAGAGAGAGGGTTAGAGATCTATAGATGAGAGAGAGAGAGGGGTAGAGATCTATAGATGAGAGAGAGAGAGTAGAGATATATGGATGAGAGAGAGGGGTAGAGATCTATAGATGAGAGAGAGAGGTAGAGATCTATAGATGAGAGAGAGAGAGGGGTAGAGATCTATAGATGAGAGAGAGAGGGGTAGAGATCTATAGATGAGAGAGAGAGAGAGGTAGTGATCTATAGATGAGAGAGAGAGGGGTAGAGATCTAGAGATGAGAGAGAGGTAGAGATCTTTAGATAGAGAGGGGTAGAGATGTAGAGATCTATAGATAGAGGGGTAGAGATCTAGAGATGAGAGAGAGGGGTAGAGATCTATAGATGAGAGAGAGAGAGGGGTAGAGATCTATAGATGAGAGAGAGAGAGGGGTAGAGATCTATAGATGAGAGAGAGAGAGGGGTAGAGATCTATAGATGAGAGAGAGAGGTAGAGATCTATAGATGAGAGAGAGAGGGGTAGAGATCTATAGATGAGAGAGAGGGTTAGAGATCTATAGATGAGAGAGAGAGGGGTAGAGATCTATAGATGAGAGAGATGGGTAGAGATCTATAGATGAGAGAGAGAGTGGTAGAGATCTATAGATGAGAGAGAGAGAGAGGGGTAGAGATCTATAGATGAGAGAGAGAGAGGTAGAGATCTATAGATGAGAGAGAGGGTAGAGATCTATAGATGAGAGAGAGAGGGGTAGAGATCTATAGATGAGAGAGAGAGAGAGGGGTAAAGATCTATAGATGAGAGAGAGAGGTAGAGATCTATAGATGAGAGAGAGAAAGGTAGAGATCTATAGATGAGAGAGAGAGGTAGAGATCTATAGATGAGAGAGAGAGGGGTAGAGATCTATAGATGAGAGAGAGAGAGTGAGGGGTAGAGCTCTATAGATGAGAGAGAGAGGGGTAGAGATCTATAGATGAGAGAGAGAGGGGTAGAGATCTATAGATGAGAGAGAGAGAGAGGGTTAGAGATCTATAGATGAGAGAGAGAGAGAGAGTGGTAGAGATCTATAGATGAGAGAGAGAGGTAGAGATCTATAGATGAGAGAGAGAGGGGTAGAGATCTATAGATGAGAGAGAGAGAGGGGTAGAGATCTATAGATGAGAGAGAGAGAGGGTTAGAGATCTATAGATGAGAGAGAGAGAGAGGGGTAGAGATCTATAGATGAGAGAGAGAGAGTAGAGATATATGGATGAGAGAGAGGGGTAGAGATCTATAGATGAGAGAGAGAGGTAGAGATCTATAGATGAGAGAGAGAGAGGGGTAGAGATCTATAGATGAGAGAGAGAGGGGTAGAGATCTATAGATGAGAGAGAGAGAGGTAGTGATCTATAGATGAGAGAGAGAGAGAGAGGGGTAGAGATCTAGAGATGAGAGAGAGAGAGGTAGAGATCTTTAGATAGAGAGGGGTAGAGATGTAGAGATCTATAGATAGAGGGGTAGAGATCTAGAGATGAGAGAGAGAGGGGTAGAGATGTAGAGATGAGATAGAGAGAGAGGTAGAGATCTATAGATGAGAGAGAGAGGGGTAGAGATCTATAGATGAGAGAGAGAGAGGGGTAGAGATCTATAGATGAGAGAGAGAGGGGTAGAGATCTATAGATGAGAGAGAGAGGGGTAGATATCTATAGATGAGAGAGAGGGGTAGAGATCTATAGATGAGAGAGAGAGAGAGGTAGAGATCTATAGATGAGAGAGAGAGAGAGGTAGAGATCTATAAATGAGAGAGAGAGAGAGGGGTAGAGATCTATAGATGAGAGAGAGAGAGGGGTAGAGATCTAGAGATGAGAGAGAGGTAGAGATCTCTAGATAGAGAGTGGTAGAGATGTAGAGATCTATAGATAGAGGGGTAGAGATCTAGAGATGAGAGAGAGAGAGGGGTAGAGATCTATAGACGAGAGAGAGAGGGGTAGAGATCTATAGATGAGAGAGAGGGGTAGAGATCTATAGATGAGAGAGAGAGAGGTAGAGATCTATAGATGAGAGAGAGGTAGAGATCTATAGATGAGAGAGAGAGGTAGAGATCCATAGATGAGAGAGAGAGAGAGGGGTAGAGATCTATAGATGAGAGAGAGAGAGGGGTAGAGATCTATAGATGAGAGAGAGAGAGGGGTAGAGATCTATAGATGAGAGAGAGAGGTATAGATCTATAGATGAGAGAGAGGGGTCGAGATCTATAGATGAGAGAGAGGTAGAGATATATAGATGAGAGAGAGAGGTAGAGATCTATAGATGAGAGAGAGAGAGAGGTAGAGATCTATAGATGAGAGAGAGAGGGGTAGAGATCTATAGATGAGAGAGAGAGGTAGAGATCTATAGATGAGAGAGGTAGAGATCTATAGATGAGATAGAGGGGTAGAGATCTATAGATGAGAGGGGTAGAGATCTATAGATGAGAGATAGAGAGGGGTAGAGATGTAGAGATAGAGAGGGGTAGAGATCTAGAGATGAGATAGAGGGGTAGAGATATATAGATGAGAGAGAGGGGTAGAGATCTATAGATGAGAGAGAGGTAGAGATATATAGATGAGAGAGAGAGAGAGGTAGAGATCTATAGATGAGAGAGAGAGGTAGAGATCTATAGATGAGAGAGAGAGAGAGGGGTAGAGATCTATAGATGAGAGAGAGAGGGGTAGAGATCTATAGATGAGAGAGAGAGGGGTAGAGATCTATAGATGAGAGAGAGAGAGGTAGAGATCTATAGATGAGAGAGGGGTAGAGATCTATAGATGAGAGAGAGAGGTAGAGATCTATAGATGAGAGAGAGAGGTAGAGATCTATAGATGAGAGAGAGAGGTAGAGATCTATAGATGAGAGAGAGAGAGAGAGAGGGGTAGAGATCTATAGATGAGAGAGAGAGAGAGAGGGGTAGAGATCTATAGATGAGAGAGAGAGAGGGGTAGAGATCTATAGATGAGAGAGAGAGAGGTAGAGATCTATAGATGAGAGAGGGGTAGAGATCTATAAATGAGAGAGAGAGGTAGAGATCTATAGATGAGAGAGAGAGGTAGAGATCTATAGATGAGAGAGAGAGAGAGAGGTAGAGATCTATAGATGAGAGAGAGAGAGAGAGGGGTAGAGATCTATAGATGAGAGAGAGAGGGGTAGAGATCTATAGATGAGAGAGAGAGGTAGAGATCTATAGATGAGAGAGAGGTAGAGATCTATAGATGAGAGAGAGAGAGAGGTAGAGATCTATAGATGAGAGAGAGAGAGAGAGGGGTAGAGATCTATAGATGAGAGAGAGAGGGGTAGAGATCTATAGATGAGAGAGAGAGGTAGAGATCTATAGATGAGATAGAGGGGTAGAGATCTATAGATGAGAGGGGTAGAGATCTATGGATGAGAGATAGAGAGGGGTAGAGATGTAGAGATAGAGAGGGGTAGAGATCTAGAGATGAGAGGGGTAGAGATCTATAAATGAGAGGGGTAGAGATGTAGAGATGAGAGGGGTAGAGATGTGGAGATGTTACCATGGCGAAGTCATCCACGTGCCTCTGCGTGGCCTGCAGCTCTCCCTCGGCGTCGATGACGCGGGGCAGCACCGCTGAGTCGGCGCCCTTCGTCACCACGAACACGTCGCCTGTGGTGGGTGTAGGGTGAACGACGCTGCCCCTGTAGGGTGAACGACGCTGCCCCTGTAGGGTGAACGACGCTGCCCCTGTAGGGTGAACGACGCTGCCCCTGTAGGGTGAACGACGCTGCCCCTGTAGGGTGAACGACGCTGCCCCTGTAGGGTGAACGATGCTGCCCCTGTAGGGTGAACGACGCTGCCCCTGGTGCCCCCTGTAGGGTGAACGACGCTGTCCCTCGTGCCCCCTGTAGGGTGAACGACGCTGCCCCTGGTGCCCCCTGTAGGGTGAACGACGCTGCCCCTCGTGCCCCCTGTAGGGTGAACGACGCTGCCCCTGGTGCCCCCTGTAGGGTGAACGACGCTGCCCCTGGTGCCCCCTGTAGGGTGAACGACGCTGCCCCTGGTGCCCCCTGTAGGGTGAACGACGCTGTCCCTCGTGCCCCCTGTAGGGTGAACGACGCTGCCCCTGGTGCCCCCTGTAGGGTGAACGACGCTGCCCCTCGTGCCCCCTGTAGGGTGAACGACGCTGCCCCTGGTGCCCCCTGTAGGGTGAACGACGCTGCCCCTGGTGCCCCCTGTAGGGTGAACGACGCTGCCCCTCCTGCCCCCTGTAGGGTGAACGACGCTGCCCCTGTAGGGTGAACGACGCTGCCCCTGGTGCCCCCTGTAGGGTGAACGACGCTGCCCCTGGTGCCCCCTGTAGGGTGAACGACGCTGCCCCTGTAGGGTGAACGACGCTGCCCCTGGTGCCCCCTGTAGGGTGAACGACGCTGCCCCTGTAGGGTGAACGACGCTGCCCCTGGTGCCCCCTGTAGGGTGAACGACGCTGCCCCTCGTGCTTGCGACTCTCCCTAGGGTTCGCAATGCTCCCCAGCGTGCACGATGCTCCCCACTGTTTGCGACGCGCCCTGGGGGTTTGCGATGTGCCCTAGCGTTGCGAAAGTGAGCGTCTGTGTGGGGGGTGGGAGGTGGGGGTGGGGGGTGGCGCTGACCTCCGCACGTCCGCCGCAGGACGACGCTCATGCAGCGCCTCTTGGGGTCAAACTCCAGCGTGTCCAGCACCTCGAAACTGGGGGGGAGGGGGTGACGGGCGGTCACGGTGAGTCCACCGCTACTGGAACATCGTGACGATCACCACAGCCTCAGCAGAGGGGGCAGGGAAGGGGGCGAGGAGGCGGGGGGGGGGTGGGGGACGGCCCCCTAAAGCGCTGGGCCTGGGGCGGTCGCCCACCCCTCCACCCCGGTACCCCCAGGGGCAAGACAACTCTGCCCACACCTCTTTAATACGAGGTGGGGTTTGGGTGGCGGGCACCACGCCCGGCCGCCTTTGTCTCCCCCGCCCGGCGATGTTTGCTACACACAGCCACGACGCCGAGTAACCCAGGACCCCACGTCTCACCTGCGCCGGTGACACCGGGGACGGGAATCGAACCAACGACCCCACGTGTCACCTGCGCTGGTGACACCGGGGACTGGAATCGGACCCAGGACCCCATGTCTCACCTGCGCCGGTGACGCCGGGGATGGGAATCGAACCCATGTCCCCACGTGTCACCTGCACCGGTGACACCAGGGACGTGAAATCGAACCCACGACCTCAAGTCTCACCTGCGCCGGTGACACCGGGGACGTGAATCGAACCAACGACCCCACGTGTCACCTGCGCTGGTGACACCAGGGACGGGAATCGAACCCAGGACCTCACGTCTCACCTGCGCCGGTGACGCCGGGGATGGGAATCGAACCCACGACTCACGTCTCACCTGCGCTGGTGATGCCGGGAACGGGAATTGGACCCACGACCCCACGTGTCACCTGCGCTGGTGACACCGGGGACGGGAATCGAACTCACAACTCAATCTCACCTGCGCTGGTGACACCGGGGACTGGAATCGAACTCACGACTCAATCTCACCTGCGCCGGTGACGCCGGAGACGGGAATCGAACCCACGACTCACGTCTCACCTGCACCGGTGACGCCAGGGACGGGAATCGAACCCAGGACCCACGTGTCACCTGCGCTGGTGACACCGGGGACGGGAATCGAACCCACGACCCACTTCTCACCTGCGTAGCTGTCCCTGAATGCAGAGCCTCATAGTTTGGTTTTCCAACCCCAAGAATATCACTCCAAGTCTGCGAACATCAATCAGGACTCAATCAGACACAACGACAAACAACAACAACAACAAACAATATTTGCCACCAAGTGGCGGTGACGTCACCGCAGCGCTTGTGCCAGGATAGGTGCACTGTGAGCGAACATGGGTGAGTGAGTGTGGGTGAGTGTGGGTGAGTGAGTGTGGGTGAGTGTGGGTGAGTGTGGGTGAGAGTGGGTGAGTGAGTGTGGGTGAGTTTCTGTGGGTGAGTGGGTGAGTGTCTGTGGGTGAGTGAGTGAGTGGCAAAACAACCCCCTACCTCCTCGCGGTGCCGGATGGGCAACTCTGTCGTGGACAGTGCTGTGGGGGGAGGTCCAATTTTGAGTGGCTCCTCCCCTCATGGCATATGTGTCCACCACAGGGGCTAAACGGGGGCTCTGGACGGGTGCGAAGGGCTGGTAACCCCTCCACCTTCAATTAATTACCACTAAACCGCGAATTAAGTATATAACTAATAAGCTTGTGCCAGAGGCCCCGGGGGGCCAGGCGTCTATGACGTCTCCTGGCCAAACCCCGATTGGCGGAGCCAGGAGATTGAATATCTACCCTCGGGGCTCCTCCAGAAACAACGAAAAACCACTACGGGTGGCCACGTGGAATGTTCGAACGCTCACTGCAGAGGAGAGGCTGCCACTCCTCTGTCGGGAGCTGGACCGGTACCGCCTAGATCTATGTGGCATTCAGGAGGTCCGGTGGACCGGCTCTGGCTCCTGCCACCATGAGGGGTGGACAGTCCTCTACTCGGGGCAGCAGACTGCCAAACAACAGGCTGTGGCTCTTCTTTTGAACAAAAGAATGAAGGGGGCGTGGGAGTGTGGCGGTGAGGTGTGGGAAGCAGTAAGCCCCAGGCTACTTTGGGCTCGCCTTCCCATCAACCGGAGGCAAGGAATGGTGGTCGTGGTTACTTATGCCCCCACCGAAGATGAACATCCGTGGAGGGATGCAGGCAAAGCCGATGAGTCAGATGCCTTCTATGATCTTCTGTCACAGGTGCTGGCTAAAGTGGCCCCTCGGGATAGAGTCATCATGTTGGGTGACTTCAATGCCCGAGTTGGTCATGATACTGGCACCTGGTCTGGAGTGATTGGAGGGCATGGGCTAGATCAGCTCAATAACAATGGTAGGAGGCTGCTAGATTTTTGTGCAGCCCATGGGCTTGTAATTACCAACACGCTGTTCCGGCATCGGCGCATCCACACAACATTATGGATGCATGCCGGGTCCAATCAAGAACATCTGCTGGACTACATAGTGACGGACCAGCGGATGCGAGCCCATGTCCTTGACACCAGGACCTACCGTGGAGCTGATCTGCCCTCTGACCATCGACTAGTCATCTGTAAGATGCGCCTGCCATTCTTCCACTCCGGTGGTGGGTGTACACCCAGGACCCCATTCCAACCTAAAGTGGCCTGGTCTCAGTTATCTGATGAAAGTTGCAAGCGAAAATTTCATCATCACTTGCGGCTGGGATTGGCATCGTCCCCGACTCCTCCTGATGTCGAGGGTAAATGGGCGAGGTTTAGGACTGTGACTCATGCAGCTGCACTGGCTGCTTTGGGTACGTGGGTACGTGGTCCAGACCTCCCCAGAGACCCTGGCTGACAGAGGAGGTGTTCAGGATGGTTGAGAAAAATCGACAGGCCCACTGTCATCGGCTACAGAATCCCACGTCAGAGAATGAGGAGGCTTACCGCAGCCTTCGCTCGGAGGTTCGGAGAGCCGTGAGGCGCTGCAAGGATGTGTGGTGGTCGCGGGTTGCTGAGGAGATGGAGTCTGCCTCAGTGGCCCGTGATCACAAATCTCTATTTAACTCCATCAAAAAAGTAACCTGCAGCGCCACACCTATTACCATCATTAGGGGAAAGAACGGTGATCCAATCTCCGACCCCCAGGAACAGGTTTGCAGATTTGCTGAGCATTTCTGCGAGGTCCTGGGGGAGGGAACATCGCTCAGCCAGGAAAACATCGTGGCACAAAGTGAGGATGACCCTGCTGAGGCTGCGGTGCCTCAAATATTGGAAGAAGTCACCCCCTGTGAGTGGCTGGCTGAGGTGCCATCTGTTGAGGAAGTACTGAAGGCGATCCGGAGTCTGAGACCAGGATAGGCAGCGGGCAGAGATGATCTCCCAAGCGAAATGCTGAGGGAGGGTGGCGTTTGTGCACAGACTGCCCTATTTGACATCATAACAACAGTCTGGACCACTGGACGGGTTCCGCAGGATTGGAAGGATGCCCTGGTGGTCCCCCTTTTTAAGAAGGGGGACCGCACAGACGGTAACAACTACAGGGGCATCTCACTCCTCAGCGTGCCGGGAAAAATCCTGGCAAGGATCATTCAACATCGCCTTGCCAGGCACTCTGAGGAGAGGCTTGCAGAGCCCCAATGCGGTTTCAGGAAAGGGCGGTCCTGCACAGATGCCATATTTTCTGTCTGTCTGCTACAGCAGAGGTGTAGGGAATTCCAACAAGACTTACATCTCTGCTTTATTGACCTGGTCAAGGCCTATGATACCATCAGTAGGCCTGGGCTGTGGGTTGTTCTTCGTGCTTTTGGAGTACCTGACCCTCTACTCACGATCATTAAGAACCTTCATGATGGTGAGTGGGCCCGGGTAAAACTACGTGGCCGGGAGTCAGAGCCATTCCCTGTACACCTTGGGGTGCGACAGGGATGTCCTCTGGCTCCCACATTATTTAACATCTATTTTGACCACGTAGTTCGTGAAGCCCTCAATAGCTGTACCGGGGGAATCTCCATATGGTACAGATATAATGGGACGCTGATCGATGCCCGGGTGCGGTCAAGGGATGACTCCCTATTGCTCAACCACGTTATGTATGCTGATGACTTGGTAATAGCTGCTCATTCAGAAGAGGAGTTGGAGATGCTGCTGCTGAGACTGGAACGTGCCACTAAGAGGTGGGGCCTTACCATCAGCCCCACCAAAACTAAGCACCTGCCTGGGTATTTTGTATCATCGGACACTCCACCCCCACAACTCCCAAACGGTGATGGGGCAGTTGTGGAGAGAGTGGAGAGTTTCCCATACCTGGGCAGTGTGCTTATGACTGGCTCCAGTTTAACAGCAGAGTTCTCACTCCGAATCAGTCGAGCGGCAATATCTTTTCATCGGTTGCATAACACTGTGTGGAAGCTACCTGGTCTGTCGCTCCGCACTAAGCTTCAGGTCTTCTCGGCCATGGTCATTCACTCCCTTCTCTACGCTTGCGAAACGTGGACCCCCCTAATGGAACATCTTCGCCGGTTAGAAACATTTAGGCTGGCCTGCCTACGATCCATCCTGGGTTTAACCAGACTGGATTGTGTGAGGAGCTCAAAAATCCTTGAAAGATCTGGGCAAGGTCCCATCGGTGAGCTCCTCCGGCGGGCAAGGCTGCGATGACTGGGTCATGTAGCCCACATGCCCAGCCACCGCATGTCGAAACAGCTTTTGTTCGGCCGGATCGAGGGGGCTAAGCGGGCGCGGCACGGGCTAGAGAAGAGATGGAGTGATGTGGTACAGGAGGACGTGGAGCTGAGTGGACTTGCCGATGACTGGTACCAGCGGTGTCAAGATCGGCCTCTGTGGAGGAGGCTCATGAAGGATGCTACTGGGCAGTTGGAGGCAGTCGCCCTCCAACAACAACGGATGGCGGAGGAGCGACGCTCAGAACAACGAGCGGAGCGCCGGGTGGCTAAAGCACAGCAGGTTGGCACAGTAGGGGGCACAGGTGGTGCATCAGCCAGTCATCTCAGTCAGTCGACCCGTGGCACCTGGGTCTGCCCCGTGACCTCCTGCCAGCGGGCGTTCGACACTTCACGTGGCCTCAGGGTGCACATAGCCTGGCACAAGCGTGGTGGTGACGTCACCGCCACTTAGTGGCGAATGGCAGTTGTTGTTGTTGTTGTTGTTATTGAGTGAGTGGGTGGGTGAGTGTGTGTACGAGCGAGCGAGCGGGCGCCGTGAGTGGGTGAGCGTCCCTCGCCTGGACGCGGCCTCCACAAGGGCCTTCTCGTCGGGCGAGGAGGCGTAGTACTCCGGCGAGGAGGCGTGGCACTCCGGCGAGGAGGCGTGGCACTCCGGCGAGGAGGCGTGGCACTCCGGCGAGGAGGCGTGGCGCTCCGGCGAGGAGGCGTGGCGCTCCGGCGAGGAGGCGTGGCACTCCGGCGAGGAGGCGTGGCACTCCGGCGAGGAGGCGTGGCACTCCGGCGAGGAGGCGTGGCACTCCGGCGAGGAGGCGTGGCGCTCCGGCGAGGAGGCGTGGCACTCCGGCGAGGAGGCGTGGCACTCCGGCGAGGAGGCGTGGCACTCCGGCGAGGAGGCGTGGGGCACCTTCACCGCCGCCGCCGCCTCCACCACGAGAACTTCTCCCGCACCGCCCATCAGCGGCGCCGCCTCCCCCTCCCCCTCCCCCCCTGCGTCCCTACCCACGGGCCCACCCCCGCTGTCCCCACCGCCGGTGTGGATGTCGGTGTCCATGCCGGTGCCGGTGTCGGTGTTGATGTTCACCGTGTGGCACAGCGCCAGCGCCGTCAACAGGAACGAGGGGCTGGTCCATTCCTGCGCCGCAAGCGCCACCACCGCCACCTTAGCAGCGCTCACGGTGGGGGTGGTGGTGGTGGTGGTGGTGATGATGGTCATGATGGGTGGTGATGGTGATGAAGATGATGATGGTGGTGGTGGTGCTGATGGTGGTGGTGATAGTGGTGGTGCTGATTGTGGTGATGGTGATGATAGTGGTGGTGGTGTTGATGGTGGAGGTGGTGGTGATAGTAGTGGTGCTGATGGTGGTGGTGATGGTGCTGATAGTGGTGGTGATGGTGGTGGTGGTGGTGCGAGGGGCTGTCAACCCCTTCGCCTTCACTTAACCACCACTGAACCACGTGATAAAAATAGAACGAAGCTTGTGCCGGAGGGCCCTGGGGGGACAGGCGTCTATGACGTCTCCTGGCCAAACCCCATTTGGCGGAGCCAGGAGACTGAATCCGTACCCTCGGGGTTCCTCCAGAAACAGCGAAAAGCCACTGCTGGTGGCCACGTGGAATGTTCGAACGCTCGCTGCGGAGGAGAGGCTGCCACTCCTCTGTCGGAAGCTGGACCGGTACCGCCTGGATCTCTGTGGTGGACCGGCTCTGGCTACTGCCACCATGAGGGGTGGACAGTCCTCTACTCAGGGCAGGACACCGCCAAACTACAGGGTGTGGCTCTTCTTCTGAACAAAATAATAGAGGGGGCGTGGGAGCGTGGCGGTGAGGTGCGGGAAGCTGTAAGCCCCAGGCTACTTTGGGCTCGCCTTCCCATCAACCGGAGGCGAGGAGTGGTGGTCGTGGTTACATATGCCCCCACCGAAGATGAATATCCGTGGAGGGATGCAGGCAAAGCCGATGAGTCAGATGCCCTCTATGACCTCCTGTCACAGGTGCTGGCTAAAGTGGCCCCTAGGGATAGCATCTGTTGGGTGACTTTAATGCCCGAGTTGGTCATGATGCTGGCACCTCGGCTGGAGTGATTAGAAGGCATGGGCCAGATCAGCTCAATAACAACAGTAGGAGGCTGCTACAGTATATTTCTGTGCAGCGCATGGGCTTGTAATTACCAACACACTGTTTTGGTATTGGAACATCCACGTAACATCATGGTTGCATGCCGGGTCCAAGCAAGAACATTTGGTGAACAACATAGTGACGGAACAGCGGAGGCGGGCCCATGTCCTTGACACCAGGACCTCCTGTGGAGCTGATCTGCCCTCTGACCATCGACTAGTCATCTGTAAGATGCGCCTGCCATTCTTCCACTCTGGTGGTGGGTGTACACCCAGGACCCCATTCAAACCTGCAGTGGCCTGGTCTCCGCTAGCTGATCAAAGTTGCAAGCGAGAATTCCCTCATCGCTTGCAGCTGGGGTTGGCATCGTCCCCTACTCCTCCTGATGTCGAGGGTAAATGGGCGAGGTTAAGGACTGTGGCTCATGCAGCTGCAATGGCTGCTTTGGGTACGCGGTCCAGACCTCCCCAGAGACCCTGGCTGACAGAGAAGGTGTTCAGGCTGGCTGAAAAAAAAAACGACAGGCCCACTCTCACCATCTACAGCATCCCACGTCAGAGAATGAGGAGGCTTACCGCAGCCTTCGCTCGGAAGTTCTGAGAGCCGTGAGGCGCTGCAAGTATGGGTGGTGGTCGCGGGTTGCTGAGGAGATGGAGTCTGCCTCAGTAGCCCGCGATCACAAATCGCTTTTTAACTCCATCAAAAAAGTAACTTGCAGCGCCACACCTATTACCATCATTAGGGGAAAGAACGGTGATCCAATCTCCGACCCCCAAGAACAGGTTTGCAGATTTGCTGAGCATTTCTGTGAGGTCCTGGGGGAGGGGAAATCCCTCAGCCTGGAAAACATCGTGGCACAAAGTGGGGATGACCCTGCTGAGGCTGCGGTGCCTCAAAAATTGGAAGAAGAAATCACCCCCTGTGAGTGGCTGGCTGAGGTGCCATCTGTTGAGGAAGTGTACAGACTGCCCTACATGACATCATTACAACAGTCTGGACCACTGGACGGGTTCCGCAGGATTGGAAGGATGCCCTGGTGGTCCCCCTCTTTAAGAAGGGGGACCGCACCGACTGTAACAACTATAGGGCATCTCCCTCTTCAGTGTGCCGGGAAGGTCCTGGCAAGGATTAATCAACATCACCTTGCCAGGCACGCTGAGGAGAGGCTTGCGGAGCCCCAATGCGGTTTCAGGAAAGGGCGGTCCTGCACAGATGCCATATTTTCTGTCCATCTGTTACAGTAGAGGTGTAGGGAATTCCAACAAGACCTACATCTCTGCTTTATTGACCCGCTGCTCACGATCATTAAGGACCCTCATAATGTTTCGCCGGCCCGGGTAAAGCTACGTGGCTGGGAGTCGAAGCCATTCCCTGTACACCTTGAGGTGTGACAGGGATGTCCTCTGGCTCCCACATTATTTAACATCTATTTCGACCACGTAGTTCATGAAGCCTTCAATAGCTGTACCGGAGGAATCTCCATCTGGTACAGATACAATGGGAGGCTGATCAATGCCTGGGTGTGGTCAGGGGATGGCTCCCTATTGGTCAACCACATTATGTATGCCGATGATCTGGTGATTGCTGCTCACTCAGACTAGGAGTTGGAGGTACTGCTACTGAACCTGGAGCGTGCCACTAAGAGGTGGGGCCTTACCATCAGCCCCACCAAAACTAAGCACCTGCCTGGGTATTTTGTACCATCGGACACTCCACCCCCACAACTCCCCATTGGTGATGGGGTAGTTGTGGAGAGAGTGGAGAGTTTCCCATACCTGGGCAGTGTGCTCATGACCGGCTTCAGTTTATCAGCAGAGGTCTCACTCAGAATCAGTTGAGCGGCAATATCTTTTCATCGGTTGCGTAACGCTGTGTGGAAGCTACCTGGTCTGTCACTTCACACTAAGCTTCAGGTCTTCTCGGCCACGGTCATTCCCTCTCTTCTCTACGCTTGCGAAACGTGGACCCCCCTAATGGAACATCGTCGCCGGTTAGAACCATTCAGGCCGGCCTGCCTACGATCCATCCTGGGTTTAACCAGGCTGCATTGTGTGAGGAGCTCACAAATCCTTGGAAGATCTGGACAAGGTCCCATCGGTGAGCTCCTCCGGCGGTCAAGGCTGCGTTGGCTGGGTCACGTAGCCCGCATGCCCAGCCACTGCATGCCAAAAGAGCTTTTGTTCGGCCGGATAGAGCGGAGCGCCGGGTGGCTAAAGCACAGCAGGTTGGCACATCAGGGGGCACAGGTGGTGGTGCATCGGCCACTCATCCCAGTCAGTCGACCCGTGGCACCTGCTGGGTCTGTCCCGTGACCTCCTGCCGGCGGGCGTTTGATACTTCACGTGGCCTTAACGTGCACCTAGCCTGGCACAAGCGCCGTTGTGATGTTATCGCCACTTTGTGGCGAACGGCGGTTGATGTCGGTGACGGTGGTGGTGGTGGTAGTGGTGGTGATGGTATTGGTGCTGCTGCTGATGATGATGCTGATGATGGTGCTGATGATGATGCTGATGATGGTGCTGCTGATGATGATGCTGATGGTGATGTGGAGAAGCAAGAGACCACACCGGTGAGTCCGTAGCTCCAAGGCCTCCATCAGGGACGTCACCCCCTGCTCCTCCTCCTCCTCCAGCTGCTCCCCGACCACCCCCCTCGGGCACCATCTCCCCGTGATGAACCTGGTACTTGACTCCTCGAAGGCTCAGCTTCTTGAGGCTCATCACGTTCTCCGTGAGGGTGCCCGTCTTGTCTGTGAGCACGTACTCCACCTGAAACACCACCATCACCACCATCACCACCAACATCACCACCATCACCACCAACATCACCACCACCATCACCACCATCATCACCATCACCACCACCATCACCACCATCACCACCACCAACATCACCACCAACATCACCACCACCATCACCACCACCATCACCACCAACATCACCACCACTATCACCACTATCACCACCACCATCATCATCACCACCATCATCACCACCAACATCACCATCACCACCAACATCACCATCACCACCAACATCACCACCATCACGTTCTCCATGAGGGTGCCCGTCTTGTCTGTGAGCACGTACTCCACCTGAAACACCACCACCAACATCACCACCATCACCACCACCATCACCACCAACATCACCACCATCATCACCACCAACATCACCACCAACATCACCACCACCATGACCACCAAAATCACCACCAACATCACCACCAACATCACCACCATCACCACCAACATCACCATCACCACCACCATCACCACCCACATCACCACCACCATCACCACCATCATCACCATCACCACCAACATCACCACCATCACCACCACCATCATCACCACCATCACCACCACCATCACCACCAACATCACCATCACCACCACCATCACCACCAACATCACCATCACCATCACCACCATCACCACCATCACCACCACCATCACCACCAACATCACCACCACCATCACCACCATCACCACCACCATCATCACCACCATCACCACCACCATCACCACCAACATCACCACCACTATCACCACTCTGACCACCACCATCACCATCATCATCACCACCATCATCACCATCACCACCAACATCACCACCAACATCACCACCAACATCACCATCACCACCAACACCATCACCACCAACATCACCACCATCACGTTCTCCATGAGGGTGCCCGTTTTGTCTGTGAGCACGTACTCCACCTGCACCACAACCACCACCATCACCACCATCACCACCAACATCACCAGCATCACCACCACCATCACCACCACCACCATCATCACCATCATCACCACCATCATCACCACCACCAACATCACCACCATCACTACCACCATCACCACTATCACCAAGTATCACCACCACCATCATCATCACCACCACCAACATCACCACCATCACCACCACCATCACCATCATCATCACCACCATCACCACTATCACCACCACCATCACCACCATCACCACCATCACTACCATCACCATCACCACCACCATCACCACCATCATCACCATCACCAGTAGTAGCACCACCATCATCACCACCACCATCGCTACCACCACTATCACCACCACCATCACCACGACTCCCACAGTAACACCACCACCATCACCACGACTCTCACAGTAACACCACCACCATCACCACCATCACCACGACTCCCACAGTAACACCATCACCACCATCATCACCACTACTCTCACAGTAACACAGTAACACCATCACCACCACCATCACCACGACTCCCACAGTAACACAGTAACACCACCACCATCACCACAACTCCCACAGTAACACCACCACCATCACAACGACTCCCACAGTAACACGGGATGTTCCTCGGATGAAATCGCGTGAATGGAAATGCATCGTGAAACCCGCCACCACCCACACCTCTGGTTTTCCACCTGACGAATCTGTTTGTTGGAATCAGTGGTGAAACGACACGGTGTAGTGCTGTACTAGTGACGAATTGGCCACGTTCTCTTCACGTGACAAACACCCTAACACGGGTGGTGGCGGGAATAACGACTGCAATACTCACACATCACTCACGTGATCAAACCCCCAAAACCCAAACTCACAGAGAGCCATACTCACAGAGACCCACACTCACAGAGACCCAAACTCACAGAGACCCACACTCACAGAGACCCACACTCACAGAGACCCATACTCACAGAGACCCACACTCACAGAGACCCATACTCACAGAGACCCACACTCATAGAGACCCATACTCACTGAGACCCATACTCACAGAGACCCACACTCACAGAGACCCACACTCATAGAGACCCATACTCATAGAGACCCACCCTCATAGAGACCCACACTCATAGAGACCCACAATCATAGAGACACATACTCATAGAGACCCACAATCATAGAGACCCACACTCATAGAAACCCATACTCACAGAGACCCATACTCACAGAGACCCACACTCACAGAGACCCATACTCATAGAGACACATACTCATAGAGACCCACAATCATAGAGACCCACACTCATAGAAACCCATACTCACAGAGACCCATACTCACAGAGACCCACACTCACAGAGACCCATACTCACAGAGACAAAGATCCCCCATATTGCCTTAACAAACTGTAGGGGCAAGTGCTGTTAGCGAGCACCTATGAAGGCCGGAACGGTACACGAGGGGGTGGGTGGCCAGCACCACGCCCGACCGCCTTTGTCTCCCTAGTGGCAATGTTTACACACCGCACCAGGTACTCATTTGAGGCTGAGTCGACCTAGGGGAGGCCCGGGACCTGTTCAGATAATCGTCACTGGTGTTGGCCGTGAGCGGGAATCGAACCCGGGTCGCCAGGTTCATAGCGCAGCACGCTAACCGCTACACTACCGCTCCCCACAATAGACCCACACTCATAGAGACCCACACTCATAGAGACCCATACTCATAGAGACCCACACTCACAGAGACTCACACTCACAGAGATCCACACTGATAGAGACCCATACTCACAGAGACCCACACTGATAGAGACCCACACTCACAGAGACTCATAGAGACCCATACTCATAGAGACCCATACTCACAGAGACCCATACTCATAGAGACCCATACTCACAGAGATCCATCCTCACAGAGACCCACACTCACAGAGACCCACACTCACAGAGACCCATACTCACAGAGACCCATACTCATAGAGACCCACACTCATAAAGACCCATACTCATAGAGACCCATACTCGTGTAGACCCACACTCATAGAGACCCACACTCACAGAGACTCATAGAGCCCAATACTCACAGAGACCCATACTCATAGAGACACATACTCATAGAGACCCATACTCATAGAGACCCACACTCATAGAGACCCACACTCACAGAGACCCACACTCACAGAGACCCACACTCACAGAGACCCATACTCACAGAGACCCACACTCATAGAGACCCATACTCACGGAGACTCATACTCATAGAGACCCACACTCACAGAGACTCATAGAGACCCATACTCATAGAGACACATACTCATAGAGACCCACACTCATAGAGACTCATAGAGACCCACACTCACAGAGACCCACACTCACAGAGACTCATAGAGACCCATACTCATAGAGACCCATACTCATAGAGACCCACAATCATAGAGACCCACACTCACAGAGACCCATACTCACAGAGACCCACACTCATAGAGACCCATACTCACGGAGACTCATACTCATAGAGACCCACACTCACAGAGACTCATAGAGACCCATACTCATAGAGACACATACTCATAGAGACCCACACTCATAGAGACTCATAGAGACCCACACTCACAGAGACCCACACTCACAGAGACTCATAGAGACCCATACTCATAGAGACCCACACTCACAGAGACTCACACTCATAGAGACCCATACAGAGACCCACACTCACAGAGACCCATACTCACAGAGACCCACAATCATAGAGACCCACACTCACAGAGACCCATACTCACAGAGACTCATAGAGACCCATACTCATAGAGACCCATACTCACAGAGACCCATACTCATAGAGACCCATACTCACAGAGATCCATCCTCATAGAGACCCACACTCACAGAGACCCACACTCACAGAGACCCATACTCACAGAGACCCATACTCATAGAGACCCACACTCATAAAGACCCATACTCATAGAGACCCATACTCGTGTAGACCCACACTCATAGAGACCCACACTCACAGAGACTCATAGAGACCCATACTCACAGAGACCCATACTCATAGAGACACATACTCATAGAGACCCATACTCATAGAGACCCATACTCATAGAGACCCACACTCACAGAGACCCACACTCACAGAGACCCATACTCATAGAGACCCATACTCATAGAGACCCACAATCATAGAGACCCACACTCACAGAGACCCATACTCACAGAGACCCACACTCATAGAGACCCATACTCACGGAGACTCATACTCATAGAGACCCACACTCACAGAGACTCATAGAGACCCATACTCATAGAGACCCATACTAATAGAGACCCACACTCATAGAGACTCATAGAGACCCACACTCACAGAGACCCACACTCACAGAGACTCATAGAGACCCATACTCATAGAGACCCACACTCACAGAGACTCACACTCATAGAGACCCATACAGAGACCCACACTCACAGAGACCCATACTCACAGAGACCCACAATCATAGAGACCCACACTCACAGAGACCCATACTCACAGAGACCCATACTCACAGAGACTCATAGAGACCCATACTCATAGAGACCCACACTCACAGAGACCCACACTCACAGAGACTCACAGAGACCCAGACTCACAGAGACCCACACTCATAGAGACCCACACTCATAGAGACCCACACTCACAGAGATCCACAATCATAGAGACCCAAACTCACAGAGACTCACAGAGACCCACACTCATAGAGACCCACAATCATAGAGACCCACACTCACAGAGACCCATACTCACAGAGACCCATACTCACAGAGACTCATAGAGACCCACACTCACAGAGACCCACACTCACAGAGACTCACAGAGACCCACAGAGACCCACACTCACAGAGACCCACACTCACAGAGACCCACAGAGACCCACACTCACAGAGACTTACAGAGACCCACACTCACAGAGACTCACAGAGACCCACACTCACAGAGACTCACAGAGACCCACACTCACAGAGACTCACAGAGACCCACACTCACAGAGAATTACAGAG